TAACACAGCTACTTCAGAACACTTCCAGAGAAGAACGTTATGTTATTGAAACTGCGGGTGCTAACAGAAGATCTCATCTTATATGAAGGAGAACTGCTTTGCACATGGTTCTCTTCCAAGAAGATGTTAAAGTAGGCGGGATTAGAATGCTTAGGTAATTTTATAGGGCATAAGTTAAGGTTGTTATTAGAATATAGTAGTACTACATGTCTTTGATATTAAGCTAATGATGACATTGCTCGACAGATTGTATGCAAATGATGAGTCTTTTTGAAACATTTGTTTTTGAAAAAAAAAAAAAAGATTTCCTCGGAAAGTAACTTGCTGTAGCTGGGATGGAAAGTATTGTGTTTCTCATTACGTCTTGCTTTCATAAACTTGATGCGCTAATATTCCAATTCCTCCGAATAGCAGTAGAAGGGTTCAAACATAAAGACATCAAACTTCTTAGGCAAGTGTCTGACGTCTTAACTTGTGGGATATTATGATGCGAAAGACCAATACAAAGTAGGGGAAAAAGTGTAAATGACCTGTTGAAATTTTCATTCGAGCATGCTGATATATCTTTCATCTAGTATGCCTTTTTAGCAAATGCATACAGGTTCTTGACCCAAATAAAAAAAAAAGTTCCTTTTCTCTCCCCCAACATATAATTCATGTTCGCTCTGTTATTTTTAAAGTAAGAGTATTGTATTAATATTGTTGCATTTAATAATTTTTAAGGAATTAAGCTGATGTCGACATTATAGATTTATCTACGTCTACTATTTTTGGTTCACTTTATGGGCCATATTTTGCTCCTCATTTGAATCTGTCAAATGCTGTTCTCATAATGAAAGTATTAACATGTACTAGTAATTTCGTTTAACAAAAGTGAATGAGCAGTTTGCAATTTTTGGTAATTATAAGATAGATCCAAATTAAAACCCCTTAAAAAGCGCCAACAAAATGTTTTACGTAAGTGGATCCCCAATCCCAATGCCTATTCTTGTTTGTTTTTTCTTCTCAATCTCAAACTTTGCCTGTTCTAGTTATCTGTTTTTCTCTGAATATGATCTCACAATACTTAAACAGCTTAGCGATTCCCACGAGATTTGGGAACAACTAAATGGTAACGACTGAAACTCTCAACTTCTTTCATTCGTAAAGGAAGCTAATTTTAATAACATCTCTGCTCTTTCTCATTTTGATTATAGATTCATAATCATCAATTAATTTTCCGAAGACGACGACGAGCATTTAATCGGAGCAATCCCGATGACGAGCATCTAATTGGCGCATTGCATTCCCGCCTTCTTCTCGTGATTAAAGTTCAAAGCAGGTGCGGTATGTGTTACATAAATTCCTACCTTTAACTTGTTAAAAGTAATTACTATTGAACTTTTAAGTGCCTCTGTGTTTTTAGGACTCTTCAAAAACACGGTCGGTGCTTCAGATTCTAAAAAAGAGTCCAAAAGGCACAAATTATTTAGTAATACTCACTCTTTTGAGAATCCAACACAAATAGGATAATACTCTTAAAAGAGTTCAAATAACATAGCCACAAATTATTTAGTACTCAAGTGACATTCACTGAGTTAAGAGTTAACATGACATTTTGCAAAAATAAAGATCTCTTTGGAGAATTGACATAAAACATTAAAAAATAAACGAAGTGAGTAAATAGTAAATAAAGATTAAGTTAATAGGCTGTTTAATTATAACAAGATAGCGTAATTCCACAAGTGAATTTTGAAGGTAGTGTGTACACAACCTTACGCCTATATCTTGTGAAGGTAGAGAAATTGTTTACAGATGGACCCTTAGCTCAAGTAAAACAAAATAAAATGACGATTGAAAGGAAAATAAAGTAATGTAAAAGAGAACAATAACAACACATAATATGATGATCGAAGCATAGAAAAGAACGAATAATTATTGTCAATAAAACCATTGGTGGTCTACTGCCCATTGATTCAAATTCTTATTTTGGTGCCTCTGCTTTATATCTACATCTCTTTAGGAAAAGTACGATGTTCAATTTGGTGTTTCACTATTACTCTGATTTTGGACCATGCTCACCTCTATTATGATACAACTTTTTTAAGTGTAGTATGTTTAATGCAAGATAGAGAGATGCACTTACACATAATAAAAAGCTAGTAACTCTTATCAAATTATCTATTGCAATAAAGATATTGCTTTATAGAAATGGCGCATAATATATATGGGCTTTGGCGTGAAAATTCAGATGACTAGACGTTGTTAGGCTTCAACTGATTGGGTAGTAGAGAATCTTCGCAAGATTAAATGTTTGGTCGTAAAGTTTGCGAAGAGTCCCACCTCGGTGGTTTAAGGAATGGACGGTCTCTTTAATTTAGTTCGAGTCATCCTCTACTCGTGAGTTATCTTTTGAGTTTTAAGTTAGTGTAAGATTTACTTTTTTTAATATGATATCCGAGTAAGACTCATCTTAATTCTTATTTGCAGATGTTTGACCTTTATACGTCCAAGTCCAACCCTGAATTGAAAGTGAAGAATAACTTTTTAGGTTGAGTTAGTCTGAATGTTCATTTCAATAACAAAAGTTAATTAGCTTAAGGGAGTTTCCAAGCACTAAGCAAAGAGCCAAATTAGGAAAAAGTAGTGGTCTAGTGGAGTCAAAAGAAAGGAAATTGAAGTGAATTCCATATCACTAAACCACCCACCATTACTTCACTGCCAATTGGAGAGCTGTTTACTAACACTAGTGTCTTGATTGATGATCAGGCAATTTAAAAGATTTGTAAATTGTTGCTGTTTGTATGTGTCTTGGTGATGACAACCTTTTCCTTTAGTTTTTATGTTGTCATTGTAACCACTTTATGTCAACAGTACTCTCTTCTTTTGATCCCAAAAGGAGGATCTTGCATCATTTAGATTAGTTGATGATGTGGATTGAAAATTTGGAGTATTATTATTGGACTCATCATTATATTAATTATAATTCTTAACTATAAGTATTGGAAATGTGGACAATGGAGCATAGTGAATGATTTTAAAAGAATTCATGAGTTGACCTTAGCTCATAAGTTAATTTTAAGTTTTGATTTATTGTGATTTGTTTGTATCAGATAATAAGTTATTTGTAATTTAGTAAAAAGAATATTTGGTATTGTGATTTGTGTGTACGTTTCCCTGCATATTACCAGCATACGTTGACATAGGGACTGAAAACTAACCGGCCGCCGTAATAATTTGGGACCCTATTCTAGATCGTCCTATGAAATTATTTTGTCCATTAATCATTTTTAGTACAAGATATGAATTATAATCTCTAGATATTTTACGAGATTATAGTTTTATTCTGTACTTGATGATGAATATTACTTAGTCTTATAATTATTTATCTCACCATCTTTGTATAAGTTATGAGATAAATTATCCGTCACTCAACCAAACTATCCTTAATATTTACCCCTTTATTGTAATGGAATCTAATTAGTTAATTAAAAGAGTGTAAGACAGGTAAAATTTGTAAGATTGAAATTACTTTTTAATTAATGATAAATAAGCCTTATATGTCAAATCTTAAAGAAAGTATTACATAATCAAAATTCAAACATAGGAAAAGATTTTTTGGAAGTTCTCTACTATAGTGCACGTACAGAATGGCGTTTGCAGCAAGTGCAAGCGTACTTGTATTCAGTACAACACACCAAACAAGTGGTTTACTAGTCAATAAATTGGGAAAAATCGCGAGGTTTTACTTTAAAATTTTTGTAAAAATTGAAAAATAAGAAACTACATACACTACGATTATATTAGTATGAGTATTAACGACTAATGAAATAATACACTACTAGTCTACTATTACCTACTAATCTTTTATCTCAATCGATATTTTTTTGTAATCTTAATCCGTGTCCTTCCAACGGGTGGACCGAAAAAGAAATGTCGTTAGGATTAAACCATAATCTATTTCCTATTTATGTAGTACATGATTATGATTTGATTATTGCAGTGGGTTTTTGCCAATTTTTGTAAATGAAACTGTTATGATTTTGTGTGCTTATCCAATTGACAGAAGTAGTTAAAATATATACCTGGCAGGTTCTGAGGTAACCCAAGTGGTTGCAACAGCCATATGACAAGCATTATAAAGCAATATGAATACATCATGAATGAACTAACAAACATTTTTGGAGTCAGAAATGTTAAGAGTTTTTTAGCATCAAGACATATAAAGATTTAATCGACGTGACGACACAGCCAACTTGAAACGTGGAATGTTGTATAATTAATAATGCATCTCCTTTTAAAATTAAATCAAATTCATTATCAACAACTTTAATTTCCCTAAAGGAAAAATTTAGTGATTGTCCTAGTGTTCCATTTTTAGATCTTTTAGAAAAGTTGTTTCTTTTTTTATTTTTCATCCACTTGATATTCGTTTTAGGGTCGGATTAGTAAATTTATATTGAAAAGTTTTATTTAGGGATAAATCACTTTTTTTTTTAAAAATGATTTCAAATTTTGGGCTCGAATCTTTTCTAAAAATTCCTACGATAAAAGGAGCTTTTTTTAAAAATCATAACAATATTGTTTGAGTCAATTTTTGTGCACTTTTCTAGCTCTAAATCACTGATATTTATTTCTAATATCTCAAATAATATAGGTACGGACTAATTTCTAGTTGATAAGACTTGAAGTAGGGATTATTATTCTTTTCCTCATGATAACATGATATCTGAGTTAGTTTGTACGTATCTCGAATATTATCGAGCTATTTATTAGCACCTGTTTATCAGCTGCGACAAAATTGTCTGCCAAGACTAAAGTAAGAAATAATTTAGAAACACTTGTTTCCTATGCTGGATCATTTGTCTCTTGATGAGTGCTTTTGGTGATTGTCTAGTGTTCCATTATACGTCTCAATATAAAAGTTATCTTACTTATTGAAATAGACTTGACTTCTTTTTTCTACTTTTAGTCACTATATATATGCATATTGTTAATAATTGCCTTGTTGGGATGGAGCAAGCTTAGCCAATAATATAAATATAAGATCTTCGAGTATGGCACTATATTAACACTGTTTAATTTGTTTGTGTAGTGACTGAAATAGTAAAAACCAGATGAAAGCAACAACATATAATTAATTAGCCTCGTTTATACCTTCTCCAATTTCTCCTTTTCAACTTAATTTCTCATGGCTGGAGGACAAAGTCCAAGAAATCTCAACAAACCATGTATTCTCCTCATAGGTAACTACCTCCCTTTCATTTCATGTCAATTTATTTAGAATTGAGGCGTGGGGTAATTAAGGTAAGGTCGTCTGGATTATACTGAATATGTTTGAAGATAATTTTTTTACATGGGAAGTGTGGATTTTGGTTTTAATTTGGCAGTTATAGCGGGAATGGAGAGGTTTTCATTCAAAGGGGTGGCATCAAATTTAGTGACATATCTAACAGATGTGGCCAAAATGAGCAATTCAGCTGCGGCAAAGATGGTTAACAATTGGTGTGGTATTACGTCTATGTTGCCATTGCTGGTTGCTCCACTAGCTGATTCTTATTTGGACCGCTACACCACTGTATTGGCTTCTTCTTCTCTATATTTTGCCGTAAGTTTCCTTTCAATTCGTCTCTCGCTATGCACGAAACCATAAGGTCTTATTGTACGCAATGTTACTCTGCATTTCTACAAAAGATACCTATGATTAAAGTAATTGAATCTCCTTTGTTAGAAAATTATCTAGTTTGAGTAGAGTTAAAAGGCAAAACTTTTTAATTCATGAATACAAATTGTTGAAACCTTCTGAGTTTAACATTAAAGAAGCTTCTAGTACAGCCTAGCTGCAAATGTAGTGCTTAGGTTACAAGTTTGAATGGTAAATGTGACACTCTTTACATTTTCTTCGAAATTTGGTTATTAGAATTTTTAGTTTTTTCGTCGTTGAAAAATATTCCAAACATCTCACAAATAGGAAAAGTTTTGAACACCGTACTAGGATTGTGTGCTTACAAGAATAAGAATAGTATTAGTTTCAATTGGTTAGCATTTATTTCGTGTTTGATTATGAGTATAATTAGTTAGTATCCGTATACATTTTGTATCATATTTTATCCCATAAAGGATTTGGATGATAATGCTGGTATTGCTATCCTGAATAACTTCGCACTACCACAAAAGAGACATTTTGTGACAATAAATTTCCTTTTTAGTATTGCCGCAAAAACATTTAATGGTAATTTAATTAATGTTATTGCCGCAAACTCCTTAGTGCTTTCACGAGTATGCCTTTATTTCATTTTATTATAGAACAAGTGCCTATTTCAATTTAAAAAACAAAGTAAATCTTAAAAAAAGACGACTTTTGCCACTATCGGGGAAGGGGAAAAATCTATGTTTATTGTTGCATATTTGGGTGTGAGTAGTGTTTGTAGATGGATTATCTACACGGAAATCATTAGTTAACAGCCACGGTGGACTGTAGACATGGAGCCTGAGTCATCACCCACCTCCTTTTTTTATTAAAAAAAAAAAAAAACATTGCATTATAACCTAAATCTTGCACGTAATTAATACATTTTTAACAAATTCTGTTTAAAGTATGTATAACAGTTTTGTTTCATTGTCAACTCATTTTACTTACGTTATTGCTGATTCAGGTGTCACTTCTTTTGTCGCCCATTTATTATTGTCTGCCTTAGTGCTTATAAAAGATTTGCCACTGTTATGTAAACTTATAAACAGTTGTTTGTCTTGGAAGAGGCTTTTAATTTGTCGAATTTTTAATACTCCCCGTTTTAAAAAAAATGATTTAGTTTGACTTGACACGAAGTTTAATAAAATAGAGAAGACTTTCAATCTTGTGGTTTTAAATTAGAGTTATGTTAAATGTACCAAAATGTCATTTAATCTTGTGAAGATACCACGTGGAAAATTGAATTTAAAATGTTGCCAAAAAAGGAAATGAGTCATCTTATTGAAACAGACTAAAATGGAAAGAAATCATTTTTTTTAAACGGATGGAGTATGATTTAAGAACTTAAGATTAATATTATTGTCTCGATGAAAAGGGAAATATACTAAATGACGATGACTCTTTTTGACAATCAAATAATCAGGGTCTTTTAGCTTTGACATCATTGGCATTACAATGGCCATGGACATCTGTGGACAAATCGGGCTTCTCTTCATCGTTATCATGGTCTCTGCATTTAATTTCACTAGGCCAAGCGGGTTACAACCCGTCCTTACAAGCTTTTGCAGCGGACCAATTGGATGACGAAGAAGAATTGCCCTGTACAAAGAATGACCAGAGCTCCAAGAAAAAGAGTACATTTTTCCACTGGTGGTATTTTGGCATATGTTGTGGCAGCCTACTTGGAGTGTCCATTATGTCGTACATACAGGACACGTTAGGATGGGGGTTAGGTTTCGCCATTCCCTCGATTGCCATGATAGTGTCAATTGTAGTCTTCAGATTTGGCAACAGGTTTTATAAACATAACACGGATGGTGAACTTATCCATATCAAGTCTTTGGGAGGTCATATAGTTAAAGCTATTAGAGCAGCTACCGCAAGATTGACCTGTGGTGAGATTGCTGTACCAGATACCAACAAGTCGAAAGTTGTTGAGATCGAGTAAGTTTTTCTTTAAAGCTTTTGTAAACGAGTTTAAATTCTATGTATTGACAATTTAAAATGTTTTCATACAATCAACTCAATTCTAACATATCGGTAACCTAGTTAAAAAACTAAAAATGATTTCTAACCTGCTACAACATATTGCCAACTAATGCTCATTGTGGCTTGCCTTTTTGTTCTTAGACTTGAAAATGCACCACTCTGCCAACAAGATTCAGGCAGCACGGATAAAAAGCCGGAGAATGGGATAGTAGAAATTCTAAAAGTAGTACTACCTCTACTGCCAGTATGGACTATGCTTCTGATGTTTGCAGTGATTTTTCAACAACCTGCAACATTTTTCACTAAACAAGGTATGACAATGACAAGAAACATTGGAAGCAACTTCCGAATTCCACCAGCTGCACTTCAGAGTTCAATCACAATATCTATAATCCTGCTCATGCCTCTTTACGACACATGCTTTATCCCCTTCATTCGTGTTTTGACACGTAATGAGAAAGGTATCACTGTGATGCAGAGAATGGGAATAGGGATGTTCCTTTCAGTGATAGCAATGATAATTGCAGCTGTTACCGAAAGAAAAAGACTGGATATTGCCAGAAATCTAGGTACTTTAACTTCAGAATTTGAAGCTTTGCCAATGAGCATATTTTGGTTGCTGCCTCAATACATATTATTGGGAATTTCAGATATATTCACAGTTGTCGGTATGCAAGAGTTCTTTTACTCTGAAGTTCCCATAAATATGAGAACTTTAGGCATAGCTCTTTATACTAGTGTATTTGGTTGTGGTAGTTTCTTCAGCTCATTCCTTATAACAGTGATTGAACATTTGACAAGTTCAATAGGAGAAAAGCAGAACTGGTTCGCCGATGACATGAGCAAAGCCCGTTTAGACAACTACTACTGGTTTCTGGCATTGTCAAGTGCAACCAGTTTTTTTATGTTTATGGTTTTCTGTCGATTTTATAGAAGCAGGACAGTTAATTAGAGTGTTTTTGTTATTGTGGAATGTTGTGTTTTGCACATTCATTTCTAAGTAGAAAGTGAAGGTTCTGCACAGCTTGTATATAAAGGAAGATATATTTTGACTTCCTATCTAGTGCATCACATCCTCTTTTAATGAGTAAATATTGAAAAAATATCTACTAAAGTCATTTAATTTTGATTTGTATCAATAAGGTTATTAAACTTAGTGTTTTTCTCTTTAAAATTACTCTTTAACAAAATTTGAAATTAAAAAAGCCCACTTAATGTTTTGAATGTGATAATACAGTACCCTTCACATTTTGGATGGGATAAATATTCCTTTGATTTTTAAATTAATGACTAGAAATAAGTTGAATTATAGCTTATATTTTTAAAATATAAAGACCCACCTCCAATCAATATGAATTGTAACTGTACTCTTTTAAATTAGAGATAAATTTAAGAAAACTCCTTTCAGGTTTGACTTCATAATACTGGTCTTTCTTTATAGTTTGACTTCATAATACTGGTCTTCCTTTATAGTTTGATTTCATAATACTACTGGCCTTTCCTTATAGTTTAAGATACTTACATTCACCTGCGTTATTTTGATATTTTTGTAACCAAGTTAATTTAAATAATAAATTGTCTAGAAAATTCAAAAATTACCCTTATCTACCACCTTATTAGTTTTAAATAAATATAAAGCAAGTTGTTGAACCTCTATCTTTTTGTGCATAATTTACAAAAAAAATAAAATCTTATGATTGCATAAACATGAAATTATTAATGGGCTATATTGGCACGGTCTCTAGTATCTAGTATTTATAGAAGATATCTAAACTCTCATGGAATATTCTAAGCAATATATATATATATTCAGAGAATTTTTGCGCAAAATATAATGCTCTATAAAATGAACTATTGAACAGAACAAGTCACAAACTGTATGGACAGATTTAAACATTTTTTGTTTCTAAATCATACCAATAATAAAAATTTAATGAATAATCTAAATACTAGTTCAAAGCAATAACACAATCTTTTGGAGAGATCAAAGTCTCTGTGTAAACAAATCCATCCCTGGTGGTATCTGTATCTTCATCCGTAGTTAGAGGCCCTACTAGATTGCTTCTTTTGTCTGATACTTTGAATGTTTTAAGCACAATTCTTCTATCAGAACAGAACAACAGTTCACCATCTGCAAATATATATTTTGGAACGACTGGTAACACCTCATAAGCATCCCTGCTATCTCTCATCGTAAATAATTTAGTCCAAGATTCTTCCATACCATACTCCTTCATTACCCACAAATCAAAAATAGTAGTATCCTCCTCCTCATAAAGAAAATTTACACTAAGCATTCCACCTAACACTGTCACACCTTGCTCAATCGTGTCACACAACAAGGGCATTTCCTTCGACAATGGTAATCCTCCAAACACCTCATTTGAAATATTAAATGAAATCAGAGAAAACATCGAATCTACGGAATAAGTAAACCAATGAAATGATCCTCGTAGTAATGTCAAACATTCCATATTACCGGATTGGAGAGAACAATCACCTCCATAAATTTTTCTCCAGGAACCAGTTTTTAGGGAGAGAATTTCAGTGGGTGCCTTTTCATCTTCTTCAGGAATGTGAACGACCTTATAGTCATCACTAGTTGGGTCATATCCCATTCCATGAATGTAACCATGAAAAAACTTATCCCAATGTGATGGTAGTAATATTGATTCTCTTGTAGAAGGATTACACAGAAAACGTTTCTGCTTAATCCCAATTAAAAACAAGCCATTGCAGCTACCATAGAGATGGTAATTATTGATATGGTAATACCCTGGCACACATTGCGGGACACACACCGATTCTTGTACATCCCTAACGATTTGATGTGGTGTTGTTGTCGTCAATAAAGATGAACAATAGAAGAAAACATTACTATCCTTAGCAATCCGTAGAACAAGCAATTTGTCATTTTTGGCATGATTGAGATGTTGTTTCTTAAAGCTAGGTTCACAGATTAAAGCCTTCCAAGAGTTTGAAACACACTTGAATCTAAAAAGAGACTTCACAGGCAGTCTACTTAACATATCCATAATTATTTCTTCTTGGATGTGCATGGGAGTTTCCATTCCTAGAAGAGATCAACAAAGTCAATATATGATTATGGAGAAAAATTCAAAGTAAAGTTATCGTATTTTACTGGTGTTATTAAACCTAAAGTAAGAAACACCCGTAATTATCAACAAGACAAATTTAAGTTGGTAATCAAATTCTAATAACAAACTAAGGATAGTCCAAATTTCCAAACTATGAGTGAAATATCTAAAATTAATTACCATACTAGTAAGTTATTATTATTTTTTAATTGAGGCACCTTACTTGTTATCGGAAATCATAGACAAGAATTATGGTTGGAAAAGACTAAATCTGACCAGAAATTTGGCCTGAAAAAGTTAGATAATACAAAGAATACAAGGCAAGAAAAAACCTGATCGCTGACAACAGTGGAGGGGTTTGAACTGAAACGGTCGCAGGAGAGAGGTATTGTAATTAAGGGTTCGGGAGTTGGGGACTACTTAGACTTCTCAAATATTAGATTATCCTAATTTGAGCATGTGCTTTTCCTTCTCTTAAATAAAATACGGAAAAATTGAATAATTTGATGTTAGAATTAGGTTTTCCATTTAAGGGTGTGCCCTATTTTATTGTTATAAATGGTAAACATTTTTTAATATAGTATATTTATGTAAGTTTTCCTTTTTATTATAAAGATTAACTTATATTTGGGCCCAAAACTTTTCATGACCCAAGCAGCAAGCCCATACCCCTAAGAATATGCACGTTGTTGAGTTACATAATTTCATTGATTTGTGGGGGGTTTTTTCCTTTATGTGTTTGTTCTTTAATTACTCAAGTATGAACTCCTGAGCTATTACTCTTTTCCTTTATGTTTGTTCTTTAATTACTCAACAAACAAATGCCTTTTCAAACAGAAAGTCATTCTTCGCAGAATTTAATTACTCAACAAACAACATGCCTACAAAGGCACTTAATGCAACCGACATGTGTAGGGGTGGCAAAATCAAGCCCAACCCGACCCAACCCATTTAGGTTTGGGTTGGTTATTGACCTGCCCATTTGTTAGCTAAATCCATCTCAACCCAATCCATTTCAACTCATTAAAAATTGGGTTGACATGTAACCCAAATTGATTTTTGAGAAATTTTGTCAAAATATTATTTAAAAACTTTTTTTTGATTTTATATGTTATAATAAAGAAAAAAATAATTTTATTAGGTACTGAAAGCTTATAAAATAACAAATAAAGCTATTCAAACTTAGTAAAATTGGGCAGATTGGGTTATGACCAGTAACCAGTTACCTAACCCGTTTTGACCAAATCCATTTTGGCCCGAACAAATTTGGGTTGGGTCGGGTCTTAACCCATTTTGACCCGCCCAAATTTACCCCACCCGCTCAATTGTCACCCCTAAACATGTGTAACTAAGTTTCCTCACAGTACTTACCTCTCATTTTATCAGCAAGTATACTCTCTTCCTTTGTCCTCTGGTTCCTCATGCAAGCGTTAAAAAGCAGTCGGTTTTGCTGCCGTAACAGCCAACTTTGGCCCATTCCTCGTTGCTTTATAAGCATCTCTGTAGTCCCCTCCTCGTCCTTGCTCTCCACCATCTTCACATAAGCCAACTTTTTTGCCTCTACCTTTCATTCCTACCCCCTACCCACTTGATTTCCTGGACACAAGCTATACTAATCTTCCTCTTCCTAAGGATCTTTACTAACTCTATGGATTTCCCCATCAGCGACCCAATGTACCACAACCCTAATCCCAGCATAGATGCACTCTGAACCCAATTGCCGCCCCTTACCCGCGCCCCCTCCCCGAGAACATGACCCTAGTCTATCATCACAAACCAAAGCACTAAAGCAGAAGAAACAAATCAAGGAAGTAATATACACAACGAGGAACTACCGGCACAAATCAACAAGACAATACAAGTAGGTAGGCAAGCAACAAATTAGACAGTGACGCAGCCCAAGAACTAATACAATCCAGCAATTAATAAACAATAACATAACTCAGCAATCCAGAAAGCAATTAGCAAGAATGAAATATGATAAGCTATACTACAAACTAGCAAGACATTATAGCAAAATAAATACGATAAAGTATAGAAAACCCGCACACAAATATCAACACCAAAACCACAACGACAGATGACAGAGATGGAGAGATAGAACCTGGCGGGTCACGTTGTTGGGGTCAGGTCGATCTGGAAATCGACGGGAAAGAGCAAACTACTAATCTTGTAGGCAGATTTGTGGAATCTGGTGAGTTCCTTCGTTTGCCGGTCGTAGAGTGCAATATAGTTGATATTCACCAACCTGAATTCTAAAATCCTAAAAGAAAGTTCATTTACAATGTAAAATTCCAAATATTGAGAATGAGCTGTGAAATGGAAATATAGTAAAGCTCCTTTTGATAAGAAAAGTTAGTTCATCATTAGTATCAAAGAGCAAGTCTTCCATAGACACACAACAAAGGAAAATATACTTAAATCACTTCAAAGAAAATTTCTAACACAACATTGCAATTTGAACTAGAATCATCAAATACAAAAAGACTGAAACTTTCTTTTTTCTATCTGAAATCCTTTATACAAAGGGAACCCCAACCTCTAAACCATAACCCCTCTGCAAAGAATATATCTTTATACCTAGTAACAAAAAAATGAACCATGGATTTCCTCAAGGATGGGTATGATAGCCATTAGTTTCTGATTCAGGAACAGGTACGATAGCCTTTTGCATTTCAACATTCATCTCTTCTTTTATCCCATTCTCATTGTCATCCTCTTCATCAGACTCCAACGTAAAATGAGCTTGACTATCTATTTCCAAGTGTTGCATCTCAGCTCCAATAGGTCTATACCGCATATGTTCACGGCCAATGCCGTGTTTTTTACACACAATTGAGTATACAAAAGTAGCCACAGCTACAAGAAGAGCAAGGTGGCAATTGAACTGAAGGGTAGCAATCGCTCCACCTCGATGGTACTGAGGATGACCTTTACACTTAACCGTGTAGTTACCTCTACTCCTTTCATGCAAATAGCATCCCTGTGCAATCAAATCGGAGAAAAAAGCAAACCCCATTTGAAGAGTCCACATCCCTTGCAAGATTAACCCAATCCCACGTCCTAATCTAGTGTAATTCGATTTGGGATTTTTCAATTCTAGAAATGAACAAAATGCACAAATAGCAATAGGCACAAGCAAGAGATCATAGTAACGATTCTCAACTCCACTTGGGTCTTTCCTTTGAAGATAAAACAACACAAATTCCTCAGCAAAAGCGAAGAGACAAAGCAAATTGAGGATCGGTGAAGGTAAATCAAATGATTTTTTCAAGCGGGTCATGAGACCTAATACCGAATAGAGAAAGAAAAGAAGAGAAATGGCGATAACCTGCAATTGAAGGACGGAACCAATGTTGTCTTTTGAGTTGAGTGCGTCGAAAAAGGATAACAAGGAGTCGAGAACGAAAAGGAATGAAAGGATTAAGATTAACACAAAGGTGATAGATGAAGAAAAAACAGAATCTTGCTCAATCTTATCTGTAGATGGGTTTTGTGGCGGCGATTGGGTAGTGGACGACGGTGATGAAGTTTTCAGGGCACCGGAGGAAGAGACAAGAGATTCCCAAGCGCCGATTAGTATGAATCCGCCGCCGGCGACAGTATAGCCGAATAGCCCCATTGTTGACTTTGATTATCGTTAGATCTCAAGAAATTCTATGTTGAAGAGAAGCTTCGTTGATCTGGCCAGGCTGTGCCTGCCTATTTAGTCTGCGTCCCTCAAGTTAGACTTGTCTGAATTTGCTTTTCACCTGACTTTCCAAGACTCATATACTCCCTTCTTTTCTTTCTAAAAAATAAGTGAAGTTGTGCAAAATTTAGATGGGTTAAAAATTAAAATAAAGCAAGTAAATGAATAAGTAGGTCATTGGTCTGTCCGTGCCTATGTTCATTTTTTTTTTACTTGTTCTTTTTTATTGGTTCATTTCGACAAATAAAAAAAATAATTTTTTAAACTATTATATTATCAATTAATTACTTTGAGAAAAAGGTAGAACTTCTTGAAAATTTTAAAATTTTAATTAATCTACTTTATAATTAATAGAGATAAAATGATGCACTCATTATGTCAATCATTACTTTCTTAACATGTGTGCCAATTCATATATGATACAATTTAGGATAGTCATATTCAAAAGCTAGTTATTAAGATTAGAGAGATCAAGGTCATATGAGTTTTAAGTTACTCCATTAAATCGATGTGAGACTTAAATGACAAGTTTCATCCCTTATAATAAAATTATAAAAAATCATCACGATCTACATTACATATCAATATTATATTATTGCATTAAAAATAAATCAATTCAACCAAGTTCATAATAACGAATTGTAGGCCGGTCCATGTCCAAACCCCTAGAAGCATGCTCCTTTACACGCCCATAGACGAACCCCTAGGCTCCTACCGACCCCTTGACACATTTATAACTTGTTTGATTAAGTTTATAATATCAACTTATTTTAAAGTGTATAAATTTTTTTCAAAATATTTTTTTGAAAAAAATGCTTTTGGTGAGAATTGAGAAATAATTTGTACTTAGCTAATCTAATTAAAAGAATTTATTAGCAACTATTAGTATTGGACTAAACTTTTAAAAAGTGCCTCTAACTATATTTTCATAAAATGTTTTTGGGAAAAAAATATTTTTTAGTGTTTAAAAATTAATTCCCGCTACTCCCTCAAAGCACTTATTTTTTCCTAAAAGATAAGTATTTTTTTTAAAAAAAGGAATAAATGCTTGATATTTGTTGCAATTTTACGTAGATTTTATCATGTGTATCTAAATTAATGGAGCCAAGAGGGGGATTTGATTTCATTACCCTTTATAAGAAAAAAATCATATTTTTTCTAAGATTTTTATTTTTAAACATAAGAAATCCGAAAATATCTTTTTCTTCCTTATGTGTACGCATATGAAATATGGAAGCAAACAAAATACTTAACAGATGACACAACTAAAATACCAGAATAGGCACTTTCTATAAAACCCCACGTTATTTATCACATTTTGGTGCCGGAATCCTCTATTAATATTGCACTTCTTTTCGTGTGCACGCATCCTTTTTCCTGTTCCTCTCCAAAACTTCTTGCTCTGTTTGAGTAAAAAAATTGCACTTTCTGTTTGGCTTTACTCATGATGCAAGTCATAATTTCAAAATCCTAGTAATCCTTATCTTGTACTAGACATATAACAAGTATATAAATACCAGACAGTACGCTCTCATCAATAAACTGCAAATACTCCTATATTTTACAATAAACATCATGAATATCATCAACAGAGCAGCTTCGATTTTACTTCTTTTGGTGTTCTTCTTGGCTTTTTTCCAAGATTCTGTTCATGGGCGCCCTCTTTTACTGTCAATGTCCAGACCCAAGCCGGATGCTGCTGCTTTATTTGCTCGATGGCTCGTTTCTCAGAGTTCTTGGGGTGTTCTCAAGTATGTACTATTTTCCCTTCTTTTCTGTCTGAAAGATCGAATCTTTTACTATGGTTTGTTATTTTTAGTTTGGGATCGAGGGTTGTTGATTGATTGTTCTTGATTTTGCTTCATAGTTCATAACCTAGATAGATCGAGGGTTCTTGATTGATTGCTTTAAGTGTAAAAACATATTTTTTCTTGTTTCTTGTGTGGTAGAACTTTTCAATTACTCTCTTTGTTTCAGTTTATTTGTCAGATTTTGACTTGATATGGAGTTTTAAAAAGTAAAGAAACATTTGAATCTTGTGGGGTTAAACTAAAGATATGAGTAATGTTTAGTCTTAAAACTTGCTATGTGGAAAGTTGGATTAAAGAGTCCCAAAAAAGGAAGGGACCTTCTTCTGAAACAACAAACAAATTAAAATGGAGGGTTAAATCTGCATTACAGATGTTTTCATTTGTGGCAGCTAAAGTCAACTTATTGCCTATAACAGATAACTGTACTGACTAAATAAATTATAACAGATAATTTTAACTGAAAGCTGATTCAGTGACCTTTCTTTTGCAGTACTATAGCAAGTGATATGGGAGGAGCACCGTTCGGGTATGTATGCTAGACTATATCTCTGTAAATTGTTTGGGGAGCTATTTTGTTTGTTAAGTTTTGCTTATGGATGGATCAAGATTATCTGATAGTCCTAAAAGTGGACTCTTTTGGAAAGCTTTTCTGCAGTCATGTATTTCCTGATGCTCAGAATTCTCATTTTACTACCAAAAAGGAAAGAAGAAGGTTTCGAGATGTCTTTTATTTTATGTTACTTCATAGGGGAGGGGTCAACCGGATTGTCATCATGTTATTTGGTATTAGAAATGTATTTGTTTTTACCATGACTTTTAGCATACAATTTACAGTATTTCTTTTATTGCATTCTAAAGCTGCATGATCGTAAGTCAAGTATCACTTTAGGAAAAGGAAATGTCTACATAAGAAGGTGGAATGGTGATAATTTTAATTCAGGAGATGGTTCTTTGTTCGATTTTGAAGGGGTTTGGGCTTTGAATTCTATCAACATAGAACTTAATGTTTCTTGAACCCCGAGAAACTTTAGGACAAGAGATGGAGGATTTGTGGAATGAGATGTTTTATGGATTTGATGCTGTTCAAGCTTGTTTTAGTAGTCTTATCTTGAAGTACTTTCTGTTGTGCAGGAATGTTGTCTCATTTAGTGATGGGTTACCGGATAAAGGCCGTGGTATACCATACTTCTACTTAACAACGCTTGATCCCACTGCTAGAAATGCATTGAAAGACCAGAGATCATCATTTACAATCAGTGAGTACGCCATTGGAACTTGTGGCAAGAAAGATCCTGAGAACCCATCTTGTGCCAAAATTACCCTCGTAGGAATGGTGGTTGCACTAACAACTCTTCTCCTTTATACAAGAGATTTTGTTTATTTTGATGCAGGTGTCTTTTAAACAAGAGTTTTTTGTAGCATGCCGAATATTCTGTATCCCACTCTTTCAGGGCATTTTTTTCACTCCAAAATTCAGTGCATCCCCTTAGTGTCCCTTAGTTCTACATTTAGAAATGAACAGTAAAAAGGAAATACTTACAAAGGAGGATAAAAGACCTTAGGGAAAATGGAGCCCCACTTTGTGTTGTGGGTTCTATACAAGGATAATGAGGAAGGGGCCCTCTTGCCAAACCTTATAAAAGAAAATTAGAGAGACTCATCTACGACTGAGAATCTCCAAGAAAAAATTGAGCTCTGAGATCTTGACACGTAACTGGACCTACTAAATGCAAGGTTAGCTAGTAGTTAGCTTGATGTTTTATTGGCAAAAAACTTAATTGGATTTTGATCCAAATATTGATATATTCGAGGTTAGTTTCTCAGATGATCACGCAATACATGCGGATATATTATTAAAAAAAATAAAAATTCACGCAATACATGAGGATATAAAAGACATTTCAAGGCATTTTTTTCACTCCAAATTAATTTGTGCATTTTGTGGATGATAGAACATGATAATGCTCTTCTATGAACCTTATTATGGTAATTTGAGTCATCCTGAAAACTCAATATTATGCTTGTTCGCGGAATTTTGAAAGTATACTTGCACATTGCTGCACACATTTAATATTGAAACAGACTGGTAGTCTGAACTTTCCACTAACTGGTTCCTTGGTAATCATTTGCCCTCAATTTTTCACTATAGCACTGTAGTTGGTCTGCATCAATGTTGTGCTAATTGAAGCAATTACGACGTTGATGGGTTCACTTGTTAAGCATATGAAGTATGTGCTGATATGCAAACTTATGGCTTGGATGTCCAGAAAACTAAAAGTTGCTTGTTTCTTTTTGTAGTTCCTTTGTCCTAAAGTGTAAAAATATCGTCCACATTGTTGCTAACATTATCATACTTTGTCTCTGTGCTGTTTTAGTTGAAAGTGGTTACTGGAGATCCAAAGGAAACTAGCTTTGCTCAAACTGCTTTATTCACAAAACACCCTGAGATGGAAGGTAAATGTCTTGATCTGCCATTCTAAAGTACTACCGTCGTCCTATGTTTACTCACATGTAACTATTTTGAACCAATGGCAGGTTGGCCCAAGAGTCATGATTTCCAGATATACAAATTAGAGATCGAAGAGATATTTATGATCAATTGGTTTGGTGGTCCCAAACCTCTCACCGTGGATCAGTATTTGCAGGCTAAAATGTGAGTTTAAGACTTTAGAGCAGTAAGAAAGTTGCTAAAGAAAATGTCAGATGTTGTAGATTCTCAATAATAAATAAATAAATAAAAAGATTACTGTTTGTCTCGCGGTTGATGTCATTCCTTATTTTACATGATCCATACGCAGGGATAGTCACACGGTCATTGCATGAACGCCTTTACGTATACAATCTGCTGACAAGTCCTTTCCAATTGAAGGCTGAAACTGGTTAAGGAATGTGAAAAAAGGTTTTATGGTATCAATACAGTGATCAATGAAATTCAACTGTAAATAGGAGATACTTGTGAAGCTCATTATCATTCATTCACTTATGCATTGGACATATTGTATGATTTCTGTTTTGTAAAATAATTAAAGTTGTATGCAAATAATGGGATGCAACATCCCTTTAACTATTCCACAAGTCTCCAGATATTGGGGCCAGAGGAAGAGAACTTCTAAAAATGTAATAAGAAGGATGTACGTTAAATTTGCGCAATTTATCACAATCTTGTTTTATAACTTCTAATACTTCCTTCTTGTTTTGGAGACGAGCGTTGCAGTACAACAACATATTAATGTAATCTCATAAGTCCCCGAGGAGGGTGATATGTATGCAGCCTTTTCCGCTACCTTCAAAGTGCTAGGAAGAAATATGTTTAGTTTGTTGAAGTATAAAAAAACATTTACATGCTTTGTTCTGTTGAACTTGATGTGCGTTTGTAACTAAATTTTATTTTCTGTATCCCAAAAGGACAAAAGATTCATACTAGAGTCAATCCTTTATATGAATTTTAAAAAAAAACAATGGTGGTATTGAGGTTTTTTTTTGTTTTGTTTAAGGTATCTAAGTTGCTAACATCCACTAAATATCGAGTAAGAAATTATCTAGTAATTTTTCTTTGTTGAAATTATTTAACCACTTGATTAGACCACAATTTAAAATATCCATTTTATATTATCAAGAGAGTCACATATCAGGAGTTGAAGCTATGAAACAAAGTAACCTTTTATATGAATTTGATTTAGTAGTCTTTAAATGTCAGAAACTTAACAATTGATTAAATAATTATTTAAAATTAACAAATTAAAATAAAATAAAATTGCATATCGTATAATTATGATTAATAAGTTTTAAAAGTTATTTATATAAATCATATATTTGAAATTCATTAATTAACTTAATATAAATAGGTATCCAGTGGCCAGTTCCTAGGGGCTAAAATATAGCGGAGGCAAAATCTTTTGAGGCATTTAGATCATCTGTCAATGTAAGGATAGCATCATCTTCCCCAACACCAATGTTGCTTCCTTTCTGCAACTTCCATCCCATAAACCCTTCTAAAACCCTCTTAAACCCCTCACCATCACATTCCCTCTTCTCTACTACACCCTCTTTTCCCCTAAAACCCTTCTTTCCTCGTAATACCCTTCCTGTTTTCGCCACATCCCTGATACTGAAGCTTTACCGGAATCCGCCATCCGAAGAATCGCCGACAAGCTACGCAGTCTTGGATTTGTTGAAGAACCCAAGAATCAAGAAACCCAAGAAAATGCTTTGAGTTCTAATCCCACTGCTAACTCACCCGGTCAAATTTTTGTTCCTTTGCCTACGCAACTACCCAAGTACCGTGTGGGTCACACACTTGACACTAGTTGGAGTACGCCTGAAAACCCAGTACCGCAGCCTGGTTTAGGGAACTCTATACAGAAGTTTCATGAATTGAGGGATGAGTTCTTGAAAGAGAAGGAGAAAGAGAGGTTAAAGAATAAGGAGTATAAGAAAGAGAGAGCACCAAGTTTGGCGGAGCTTACTTTACCAGCTGAGGAATTGAGGAGGCTGAGGACAGTTGGGATTGCGCTCAGGAAAAAGTTGAAGATTGGAAAAGCTGGGATTACCGAGGGGATTGTGAATGGTATTCATGAAAGATGGAGACGTATGGAGCTCGTTAAAATTACGTGTGAGGACATATGTAGGTTGAATATGAAGAGGACTCATGAGTTGTTAGAGGTTAATACTTACACCCCAATACTCAATTGTCATAGTTTTAAGAAATTGAAACTGCATTCTTGGGTTTGTTTTTATTGGATGAACTCATTTGAGACTTTTCCAAGATTTTCATGTGTAGGTTAATGTAAAGAAAATAATTTTAACAGCTTCACTTTGGCAATTTCTTAGCCCTCTGTGTTGCATACGTAATTAAAGGAAGTGTGTTAATTTGCATAAGAGGACATGGATACCAGAAGAATGTATGCAGGTGGTTTACTGATCCTTGTATACCTATGGTTGTTTGCCTTGCACTTTTCTATATCACTAATTCTGAGTATATGAATTTAAGTTTCCTTTGGATGTCTCAGATATGTTATGCTCCATATGACATGAGTTTACTTATCAAGAATTATAATGGTTTGGTTTTTAACCGTATTACTTTTTCATAGGTAGAATTCATACCTCGTAAGTTAGTTTTAATGTGCAGTACACCTCTGCCATAATTCTTATCATTACTTTGGCTTATTTAAATATTCACAGAAGAAAACTGGAGGTCTTGTTATCTGGAGATCTGGAAGTAATATAATTTTGTATCGAGGAGCTGATTACAAATATCCTTATTTCTCTGAAAATAGCTTTGAGAATAACAGTGCACAAGATGCTACCCCGGACTTGTTCATGGGTACGGAAGAGCATATGACTAACTCATCTGGCACAGATGCGGTAAAATCTGATGCATCGGACAGAAAATCTCCTCCACGTGTAATCCAGGGTGTAGGTTCTCCAGACAGAGTCCGATTTGAATTGCCTGGAGAGGCAGAACATACTGAAGAAGCAGACAAGTTGCTGGAAGGACTTGGTCCTCGCTTTACCGATTGGTGGGGTTGTGAGCCACTGCCTATCGATGCAGATCTTTTGCCAGCTATAGTCCCTGGGTACAAGAGACCTTTCCGTCTACTTCCTTATGGAGTAAAACCTAAATTGACAAATGATGAAATGACAACACTGAGGAGACTTGGTCGACCTTTGCCTTGCCATTTTGTATTAGGTAAGTTTAATCTGATTTCAGACTGTTATTTAACTAGAAAACACTTGTTATACTTGCTCGTGTATTTTTGTCAGGGAGAAACAGAAAACTCCAAGGATTGGCTGCTGCAATTGTGAAGCTTTGGGAGAAATGTGAAATTGCAAAAGTTGCCGTCAAAAGAGGAGTTCAGAACACTAACAGTGAACTGATGGCGGAAGAGCTTAAAGTTTGTGAAATTAGTTTAGTCCTTTGATGAAATAATTTTGTTTTTATGCAACACTTTGGTCTTTTCTAGAAACTGATTATACATTGTAAAACTTATCCTATTGTGTTTCACATGAAAGTAAACTTTGCAGTGGCTGACTGGAGGAACCTTGCTCTCGAGGGATAGGGAATTTATTGTCTTCTACCGAGGGAAGGACTTCTTGCCCTCTGCAGTCTCTTCAGCAATAGAAGAACGGAGAAAGCAAGTTTTTGAAGAGGAAAAACGGAATGGTTTTAATTCATCAGTAGCAAATGCTAAGGAAAGGAAACAATCCACTACGGGAAGTGTTTCTGATGATGGACATGCACGCAGAAATAACCAGAAAGGTGTCCAAGAAAAAAAGAAACTTACTTCCATGGAAGCTGCTATCAAGAGAACTGCAGATAAATTAACCACTGTATGTGTTCATAATGGTTGCGTCTGTCCACTTGCAGATTCTAATATTTATTTTTGAATGTTTTATGTTTTCATGCCAGGCATTGGAAAAGAAAGCCGAGGCAGAGAACCTCCTTCTGGAGCTTGAGGAGAATGAGGTGCCACAACAATCTGATATGGATAAAGAGGGAATAACTGAAGAAGAAAGATTCATGTTGAGGAAGATTGGCTTGAGAATGAAGCCTTTCTTACTTCTTGGTGAGTGCCTCTGTACTGCAAGCCTATTTCTTTTGCCAACAAATTTATGGAAGTTGACTCATGTATTTCTCTGCTCATGCTCAGGTAGGCGGGGAGTCTTTGATGGAACAGTCGAGAACATGCACCTTCATTGGAAGTATAGGGAATTGGTAAAGGTAATAACCGGGAGGAAAACCATTGAAGAGGTCCACCAAATAGCTAGGTTGTTAGAGGCAGAGAGTGGGGGAATACTAGTTGCTGTTGAGCTAGTTAATAAGGGTCATGCGATCATTGTGTACCGAGGAAAGAACTATGAAAGGCCTGCTTCGTTGAGGCCTCAGACTCTTCTAAGTAAAAGAGAAGCAATGAAGCGTTCTATAGAGGCTCAGCGACGTCAGGTAATGTTCTAGTAGTTAAGGTGCCAGTAAATGCTTCTAGAAGTTTCCAGATATAATACCTCTTTATTTTAGTAATGGACTTTGGCATGGTTTTAAAATTTGAAGTAGATTTGATCCCTTTATCAACTATACTTTTCTCTCCTTCCATTCAAAATCTAACATTCTGATTCTTTTGTTAATCTCAAAAAAAATAATCAAACGGTCTGATTTACCTGCTTAAATATCATTGCAGCTATACATCTCACTTTCTACTAAAAGACTATAAGAAGAGTTGCAGAATTGAAATGTAACTTATCCCAGCCAATTTCAGAGTTAGAATGCATAGAAAGAAACCAACTTTACTCGAAAAAAGGAAAATCTCCAAAAAAAACTTTCCTCATGTGGTCTGAAGAATAACCAACTTTGTCACTCAGTATCAAAATCGTATTATTTTATGTGATCCACTTTTGTTCGTGGAAGTACGTCGAGTCATTTAAACGTCTAGGCATAAACATGGGGGTTTTGGTTAAAAAGGAATCATGGTAAGTTTAGCTGTGAAAGAATCCAACATCTAGCCCATCTTTTTATGGACTCCATTGGAAATTCTTGCACAGCCCAAGTGCGACAACCATATAACTCAACACCGTCTTGCATGTGTAACCTGATTCGGGTGCAATGATAGACTTACAAAGGTTATCTCTAGTACCATGTGAAAGAATTTGAGCTTTCAGCCCCAAATCGTATGGTCATGCTTAGACTTTGGAGTAATCCAAGACCTCGATAAACCACTTTGGAAGCCTTTAACCAATCTAGTTAACTAGTAATCCAAGAACTCGATAAACCACTTTGGAAGCCTTTAACCAATCTAGACAATTAACTACGTAACTCAACATAAGGAATAGCTTGTGTTGGTACTTTGATGTTTTTTTATTAATGAAGGCAACTTCCATTTGTTATGTATCTGTTTCTAATTCTTGTTCTCACAACTAGTTAAATTTGCTGGCACTTGTTTCTAGAGATGTTTTTCCTTCTATTATTATCACTGTACCTTTACCATCGAAAAAAATAGAAAGGAAAATAACGAAAAAGTATCAATGTATTTCTGCAACACATTTGAGTTGAGGTGCAGGTGAACCATTTTGTATGACAGTCTGTAAGCTTCTCTACCCTTGTGAGGTTTCTTGTCTTTCTTTCTGATGCTTCTGCCAAAACTCTCCCACTGCTCATCTTTCTTTTACTTTGTTTTCTGATGCAGTCGTTGAAATTACATGTCTTAAAGCTTACACAAAATATAGAGGCTTTGCAGTCACGGTTGGTGTGTTATCTTACCTTATTGGAGTTGCTTTGATTTTTGTGCTCCAGTTACTAGCTCATTTCTGAATTATATTGAAATGTTGCACGATTTGCTTTGATTCAGGCCAAAAATGAGGAGATGGTTCATATTCAGTCCCCGGATATAGTTGATAGGCAGGTACCAGTGACGGGAATATCTGATGCTGCAGGCGGAACTAATTGCCAGTCTAGTTTAGCAAGTCCTACTGAGGTGAAAATTAATCCATTTATCGTACACTATATTCTGTTACTGTTGAAGGAACAATTTATGTTTCCCGTTGCTTCTCATATCTTTGATGCTTGTTGGATTCGAGATCCTTTATCAGCTATATATAAGGTACAAGCTAGAGTGTCACCTTCAGAAGTCTTTCAGATACCCCAATAGGCACAAACAACTTGCCTTCAAGTCGTAGGCATTTCTTTATGCTTTCATTAAGTTTATTAGGACAACATGTGTAGTTAATACCTATGTTTAAGAGATGAATGGATCTGGAGTTAAGACGGATTGTGGACATATAACCACCCGCATTCTTATTTTCACGTATGAAAACTTTGTTGTAGAATCCTGTGTCATTGTCTTCTTTAGTCATCATAATTAATGATAAGTCAACATAGCTGCCCACATGACCCAAATTTGTAGTTTAAGGAATTTGCTGTTCGTAACCTTTTCTATCTGTCATAGGTGTTCCTACTACCTAGCCACATGCTGAATATCATTGTAAAAACAATCCTTCTAGAATCAAACATTTTTAGATGAGTACTGAGCAATATGGAAAAAAAGCGCTATGCCTATTATGAAATAAGTTCAAAATGCTTGATATCAATCAATGGTTAAATGTTTCATCTGTATGTGGTCCTCACATTCTCCGTAGTATCATTTCTTGCATCTTTTTCACTTTTGCAGTGTGTATTGATAGAGAGAAGCTTATTTAGCTTTTATATTCAGGATTCTGGGGATGCTGCCGAAGACACTGACCCCAGTTCTCAGAAAGAATTATCAAGTGATTCCTCAGACACCGACCACAATTCTCAGCAAGAATTTCCAATTGATCCTTTTTTCCAATATGAGGGCAAGGTTGAGGCTGTGGGTGATACAATTCAACCTCAGCATCAATCTATTTCATCAATCAAAGAGTCGAAAAGTATGTTCAATGTGAATGTGGATCAAAAAACATTTGGCAGTGCAGTGAGTGAATCTGTTTCTAAGTCTTCCAGGGTAAACTTCGTTTTCTCTTCACAATTATTACACTCTATTTCTTTTCCATCACAAGGTTAATGGTAAACAAAATTGGATGCTTTTCTCATTGATTCTAGGGAGAAGTTAAGATCCACTTTTCTGAGACCAGAAGTTTCAACAAACCTCGGGAAGTTAACAATAAAAAGGAGGTGTCTCAACTTCCTTCTGTAAAACCTCAACAAGCACTTAGATCCACCCGGAGTAGGTCCGAAGGGATGCCTACCAGAAAAGTACAGCTTTCCAACAGGGAGAGGTTGCTTCTCAGAAAACAAGCCCTCAAGATGAAGAAGCAACCAGTGCTTGCTGTTGGTAATGAGAACCTCTTTTATTTTCTCTGTATTCCTCCTACCGTGGTGTAGTCTGTTGTATAGAGTTGCAAAGCATTAACCTTTTGCCAACCGTGGGGAGTTTCCATCTTAAGCGAGATGACACTGCAAGCTTTAGCTTTCACTGAGTTGGACATTCACTCAAATCCTCATTGCTATGAGATTTGGTGTTGGGATATTAGAATATTTCACTTGTGGTGGACCTGATGGTAAACTGGGACGCATTTAGTTTTAGTTTTCACCTTGAAAGAGCAGGAGAAATTTATTTGATGTGATTGGGAATTCCGCATTTTCTGCGTTTCATGCTGCTGATCTTTCTTTCCCGTAAGCAGTCTTGGCGACTCCTGACCTTAAACTTTGTCTTCCTCTGCACCTTTATATCAGGGAGGAGCAATATTGTTACTGGAGTTGCAAAAAATATCAAAGAACACTTCAAGAAGTATCCTCTTGCGATTGTGAATGTCAAAGGAAGGGCAAAAGGGACTTCAGTTAGGGAGGTGGTTTTTAAGCTGGAGGTTTGTTTATTGGCTATTTTAGTTGCTCGTTTAATTTGGCACTACCCCCATATTTACTGAAAGCCTATCTTTTGACACCTATCTGCAGCAAGCTACAGGTGCTGTTCTTGTTTCTCAAGAGCCAAGCAAAGTCATATTGTATAGAGGTTGGGGACCAGGTGGAGAGCGTGCTTCTTCTAATGGAAGTGACACCAGAAATTCGAGAAACAGCAGAGAGCACAAGGAACTGATGTCAATATCTCCTGAGCTTATATCAGCAATCAGACTTGAATGTGGCTTGCAGTCCAACCATGATATGGAGGTTGCTTCATAGGCAACAAGAAGTTGCCAACTGGTTTTGTCAGGGTCAAAGCCTTGAGCTCTCGTCTAACAACCCTTTCGTGCCCCCGATGATGGTCTCTGAATTGTCTTTGCATGCATCTGACAATTGCTTTTCTGGTGTGGAGTTGGAATCTAAATTGTGCATCACCTCTCCAATACAAATGAAAGGGAATCGGCTCCCACCGAGCCTCTCTCCTTGCAGAATTTCAGTAACTGGAATAAGTTCCACATGATAATTCCTGTCTCATGGTCATTGTGCATCAACTGGAGAGATTCTGGGATGAAACCTATAACTGTATGTCAGTTAAGTGGCGCTGCTAATTTAATTGTTTTCGAACAAGCTCCATCTTTTTTTTTTTATTTCAGATAGGCGCTATCAGTTCTCAATTATCCCTAGTTGCTGACCTACATTTTATGTAAATAGAAGTTTCAATAGAACGCATCTGTTACCATGTCATCTATTTAATTTTTTCTAGTAATATAAAGACATAAATGTCACACATTGCACATGTTCCTTTAGATTACATACTGGTTTTAGATTAGTCATGTTCATGACAAAACAAGTATGTAAACAACTAAATTCACCAAAAACTTAATATATGACATTGTCTTTAGCAAATTCTTTCTAATAAACATTAGATATTCAAATATTATTTAATAGAACGTAATTATTTTTCATATCAAATTTTTAAAATAATACATTTAAAATGTTGGTCAATTTATTTTTTAGTTGAATCTCACCCGCAAAATGAGAGAAGATAAGAGTTGTCAGCTTCATATACAACGAAGCAACCGATCTAATACCTCGGTGGAGTAATTCACAGCATTCCCTGCAGTATTTGATCATTTCTCAAAGATGTGACATCTAAGTGGGAGTAAGAGCGTAAGACTATGAGCAGATAAGGAATTTCGAGGCCAAAAGTACAAAAGCTGTTAATGGGGAAGATTGGAATTGCCAAAGTGTAGCTCTTATTCAACATGACAAATATTAAAGCATCTTTCAACTATCAAAGCCATGGCAATGATAATGTAAGGAAACATTAAGACATTAGATGTACCAGCTCTGAAACATAAATTACCCATTGGGCCAACAATGTAAACAATAGTTTTACACAAGTTTGACAATAAAAAGCGGCTGGATATAGGGAAGCTCTGCGTCCTGCTTTCCCCTCCCACATTCATACTTCTGGTACTTCTCAAAATTTATTCCATGGTATCAAACAGCAAACTGAAAAGCAGAGACATGAAACGATTATGAAATAGCCATGCCATGACACATACAAGTAATTTAATTATTCAGACCCTTAAGTATGAAAATCAATATTTGAGGGACATGACCAATGGGGAAGGCAGGGGTGGTGGGGAGGAATCAATCTATAATAGCATTGTACCAACAATGATCAGAGTGGTGAAGTGTGTATGCTTAAATTTGTCAAAGGCAGAGCTGGTTACAGAGGCTCTGTGTAGCAATTCAATAGGATGTGACTATTGACGAGTATATTTAACTTCATACACGAAGATGGAACATGCAAAATGTTGAAGATCGCAGAGCTTTTTAGATCATTTTGCTATTTCAATTAGATTATAGCTACAGGCACACCTTTCAAGCTTTTTTTTATTAATTTCTTAATTTTTGGAGAGGCGTGTCCCTCAATTTCAGTGATCAAAGAACACATCCCCATGCACAGGGTTGTCATGCAACATCCACTAAAGTCGCAAGTGTTATGACTGTTCCTGCTCTTTTCTTTTTTTTTGGTTTGTTTCTCCTTATATTGGTCAAAAGAAGAGTTGCTTTCTCTGGGTTGGGAAGGAAATTTTGGTACTTCTTTGTCATGACAGAAATAATTGAAGTTGCATTGGTCTAGCGAGAGGTCAGTAGTACTACAAAAGGGCAGGAGATAAAGTTCCCGAGAGGTGTGCCTTGGGCTTGGAGTATTTTGTATATGTTACTATGATCTTTGACAATCCAAACAATAAGAGCATAAAAAAAGACCCATTATCCCAACAAAAAAGGGAACTAGATATAAAGAGTTTGCAAACCAATTTCACTTTATTAAAGTTTACAGCATGCAACGAATAAATTTTTTTAGATGAATGTTTTATTAAGATGATGATCCATGGTTACTATCAACACTACAATGTATATGTAACAAAAGTTTAAGAACCGACCTTTTAAAAAAATCAAGCAGCAGCCGCCTGTTGTAGCTCTCTCTCTGCGTGCTCCCTGATCCTCCTTTCTAGCTCTGGTCTAAAGTGCCTAATAAGACCCTGCACTGGCCAAGCAGCAGCGTCACCCAAGGCACAAATGGTATGCCCTTCAATCTGTTTTGTCACCTCTTGGAGCATGTCAATCTCTTCCAACTTTGCATTGCCAACCTTCATTCTTTCCATGATCATCCAAAGCCACCCTGTGCCTTCCCTACATGGTGTACATTGACCACAGCTCTCGTGCTTATAGAAGTATGAGAGCCTTGCAATTGCATCTACAACATCAGTTGACTTGTCCATGACAATTACAGCAGCAGTCCCCAACCCTGACTGCACAGCTTTGAGTGCATCAAAATCCATAAGTACATCCTCACATATGTTCTTGGGAAGCAATGGAACAGATGAACCTCCTGGTATAACAGCAAGCAAATTGTCCCATCCTCCACGAACACCACCACAGTGCCTCTCTATCAGCTCCTTCAATGAAATACTCATTTCCTCTTCAACTGTGCAGGGCTTGTTAACATGGCCTGAGATGCAAAACAGCTTTGTCCCGGCATTATTCTTCCGGCCAAAACTAGCAAACCACTCCGGCCCACGCCTTAAGATGGTTGGTGAAACAGCTACTGTTTCAACATTTGTGACAGTTGTTGGACATCCATATAGTCCTGCATTAGCTGGAAATGGAGGCTTCAATCTTGGTTTGCCTTGTTTGCCCTCAAGGCTCTCCAGAAGAGCTGTCTCTTCACCACAAATATAGGCACCAGCACCAAAATGAATATATACGTCAAAATCATAACCAGATCCACAAGCATTTTTCCCCAACAATCCAGCTTCATAGGCTTCTTGTCTAGCCTTCTGAAGGCTCTTCCTTTCATTCACATACTCTCCCCTGATATAAATATAAGCAGCTTTAGCCCTCATCCCCACTCCTGCAATCAGACAGCCTTCCAACAACTTGTGTGGGTCATGCCGCATGATTTCCCTGTCTTTACAGGTTCCAGGTTCACTTTCATCAGCATTGACGACAAGATATGAAGGACGGCCATCTGTTGTCTTTGGCATGAAGGACCATTTGAGACCAGATGGAAAACCAGCACCACCACGTCCTCGAAGACCAGATTTCTTCATTTCATTCACGATCCAGTCAGAACCCTTGATGACAAGATCTTTTGTTCTGTACCAATCTCCTCGCTTCATGGCACCTTTGAGGTAAGGGTCATGCAATCCGTAGAGATTTGTGAAAATACGATCCTCATCTTTAAGGCCACCAAAGTGAGTCCTCTCGGGAGGTGGGGGTGGGGGTGTAGGTTGGGGAGTGCTAGCAGTTGATGCAGCCTGAGTGCTAAATAACCTACCATATAGGCCCCATCTTTCACTAGAACGTTGAGCTAATGCAGTCCGTTGCAGAGAAAGAAGGCCCTTTATAGGTGCCTGTTAGAAGAACATGCCATACATAAGTAATTTTAGCCTCATAAGAGGCGAGATTGAGCACGCATAATCACAAAGGTAAAAGATTGTATTGTACTGCACTAAGCGATGGGTCTATACATCATGATTGCAAAATACTCGGTTTCAACTGTTCTAGGAGATCATCCACAACCCACCTCTTTTCCAGGCTTTAGATGGGGTACGCTTTGCTAAACTCACCAAAGCAGAGTTGATTGAATGGAAACATAAGAAGAGAGTAACAGTAACATCTCCAAAATTATTCAGAAAATAGATTGTTAAAATACTTGATGCTAAGGGAATTGCGCAATAGGGGAAGAAACAAAAACCATATCCTCCTTTTGATGTGTATGTGTCCGTGTCCTGGGGTGGGGGAGGGGAAGGGAGGAAACTCTGATGCAAGACATCTTCCACTAACTGTTTTCAAAGTTTAGGTACTAATTTAATTTACATCTACCTCTCTCAAATAATTACATAAGCCTTCAAAAGTAATAAGAGTAAAAAACTTTTCTTTTCCCTGAAAAAAAGAAGCTTACCTTGAAAGGGCTTAATTCCAAGTACAATGGAAGACTACATAAACTCCTTATTAATCTATATACATATAACTCATTCTAAACTACAAAGTTAAAAACACACACAAACAGAGAAAAGAAGCTACAGGATATATGAATTAGAGAGTTCTGATAAGGAAGTTAGGTTCAAAATATGAACTTGCATAACCTCTAACATACTCAAATCTCAAAAAATAACCCAAATTTTTTCAATGAAAGCAGATTAATGAAGCAACAGCTATCCTTAACAACTTATCCAGGCATCAAATAAGATCAAAAGCAATACCCACATGTGCTAGCCAAATATAATTTAGGGTTCCTCATCATTCTTATTTATAGGAATACAATGGCCATTCGATCAGTTAAAATTAACCTTAAGCCACATCTCTGAAACTACAAATTTGCAATAAAAATCCTCTGAAGAATACCAAAAAAGTAATAAATGAACATACCAAGGACGCATCAAAATGCACCTAAGGCATATTTTCACAACAAATTTTCATTTGGACTTAGGTGGCGCGTACAGAACGATACAGATCAGATAGAGCAACTTACCATGAATATTGAAGCAGAAATGTGATGAATCGGTGAAATTCAGCTGATTCTCCAGCAGATTAGGGTGAGATTGAAGCTGTCTTTCTCAAAAAAAAGAAAGAAAAAAAAGGGAGAATGAAGCTGTTGCGATTAGTGAATCATGACGGTCCACGTAGTGGGCTTCATGGGTAGGAAATAACATGATGGGCCTTGATGTTCAGGAAATGTCGTAATGGGCCTTAGTGACAAACGTCGTTAAAGGATATTTATCGTCCGGCCATTAATTTACCAATATGATCGAAATATACACATCATGTACACCAGTGATATACATATTGTGTAAAAGTGTATAATATATATATATATATATATATATGCATTTTGTCTTTCTTTTACTTTGTTTCGAAGCATTAAAGAATGTTTTTTTCTTTTTGTCAATTTTTAAATTTAACTTCCACATAACATATTTAGACCACAAGATTAAAAAATATTTTGGTATATATATATATATATCGTTGAAGACCATAGAAAAAATAAAGCTTTTTCATTAAAAAGAAAGAAATAATTTGTATTTCAAAAAAAAAAAGAAAAAAAAAAAGTTAGGCATCCGATTTGTATTTGATTTTAGGCCATTAATTAACTTGAATCGCCACCGCATTATAGTTTCATACATAAAATATGCCGTTGATAGACAACAATTGCATATTGTGAAGAGTACGGAAACATGGCTAATCCAAGTACCGGATGGGACAATTAGCTAAATCTTGATAAATTATAAATGATAATTTTTGGAGTATAATTTACACGATATAGTAAAAATTATGCGGTGAAATTGTGAGATCAAATTTTTGTGATGTGCTTTAATGATTGAGGTTTCTGATATAAGGTAACAAAAGTATTTCAAAACACATCTAAATTGCATTAGAGACGCGCGAATTCTTTTCAAAATTTCAAAAACAATCTCATTGAGAATGATCAAATTATCAATGCTAAATGTGTTGTGAGTTGAACTAGGTTTTCTACTTTGTACTCCATATAGATTAGGTACTTCCTTCCTTTTATGTGGCGGCTAATGAGACGTATAATCGCTTATACAAATTGTTTTGCTCTTTTATTTATTTTGAAATTTAAATATTAAAAGTTAATTAACAATTTTATATAAAGATAATAAGATACTATCCTCTTTCGTTTTGCAAACTATAATATATCTTTCCGTTAATAGTAGATGAATTTATTACTTAACTGATAATTATTAATGATTTTATAACTGTGTTTCTAGAAATGTTATTAGCAACATATATAAATATTCCCATATATTAAATTTTGTCCCTATTTAAAAAGCTGGATCAAATATGCACATATATTACTCTTTTTAATGAGTTGACGGCCAAAAATTAAATATTATCCAAAAATAAAGACATTAGAGTGCGAATGACTCCTCAATACACACATGTGAAAGCATTTGATTATAAATTGTTCTAAATGCGATAACAACAATAATAATAAGAGTGGTGTATATGTAGTTTTATTCCTATCATAAGAAGGTAAGATATTGTTTCTGATAGAAACTCGACTAAGGTAAAATATATAAAATATATATATATATAATATATATATATATATATTTAAAAAACATATAATATTACAACCAATGCAGAGAAAATAACAAATAGTAATAGAATCGAAAAAAAGCAATATTAGAAGAGTAATTATAACAGTACTATTCTAAACAAGAAAACATAAAATTAGTGTCCGGTCCGACAAAATTTAGTTTTGCGTTGGAAAGTCCCACATTGAGAGGTAAAGCGCTCCCTAACAAAGATGATTCCGTACCAAAAAGACAAGAATGTGAGACCTTTTGGTTAAGAATGAATGAGTGCTTACCACTCCACCACAATAGCTTGTTGGTGGTTCAATACTAGATTCACTTTTGGCCTAGGTGAAGTTATCTCAAGGGCCTAATACTTTCTACAAGATATAACAAAACACTATACGGATCCGTGATACATTGTTGTTCATAATTCCCATGTATCTCAACTTTTCTCTATTCTTTTAATCCAATGTCATATAAGAACATGTGCAAAGTTTTAGTATCTGGAATCCATACAATCTCTCCTTTATGATTTGTTGTAAATAAAGATGTCGTTGTTGACAATGATGGTAGCTCAATTTTATGCTTTACCCATGCCTCCGTTTCACTAGTACCATTGAGAATATACACACAAATTTTACTGAAGCCTTCATCAACATCATCCTCGTCATTTACAACTAGTGCAACTTGTCCCTTTATTTCTACTATTGTATTCATCATCCCCGGCAATATTAATACTCTTTCATCGGGGAACGATATCGTTCTAATTAACTTTTCTCTAACAATACTAATCACAACAATATTAGGTCTAAATCGATTTTCACAATAAATAACTTCGTCAATACAAACATAGTTATTTGTAGTACAAATATTGGGCATCCACCCGCCGGATATATCCCTCCACGACTTGTCCACTCCAATGGTGAAAATCAAGTATTTGATCCCATGTACTAACCTATTTTCAAAGAAAACCATGTACCCCATTAATACTTTATGTTTATTGGCAGTGGGATCAAAACCGAAGAGGTAACTACTAATTATTATTGACTGGGAAACTTTTTCAATATCTGGTACTTTAGGAAGAAAGACATGTTCTTTTATGAAAGGATTGCAAATAGCGACATCTCCATTGTAGTTCCATAGACAAAATATGCCGTTGATAGACGACGATTGCATATTGTGAAGAGTACGGAAACATGTCTCATCCAAATACCGGACAAGGCAATTAGCTAAATTTTCATCTTTCAGAGATAAATTATATATGACAATTTTTGGAGTATAAGTTACCCGATGTAGTAGAAATTGTGAGGCCGAACTTCTGTGATGTGCTTCAATGAATGAGGATTCCGATATAAGGGAACAAAAGTATTTCGAAACACACCTAAATCGCATTAGAGACTTGGCACAAATTCTTTTCAAAATTTCAAAGACAATCTCATTGGGAATGATCAAATTACCAATGTCGACAGTCTTATCTTTCATTGTTATGTGAAAAGTGAGAGCAAACTTGTAAAATATATAAAGGTGTCTTTTTGAGTTGGGTAGGTTTTGTACTTTGTACTTTATATAGATTAGGTAATTACTGCCAATGAGGCCTAAACGCACACAACTTATTTTTGCCCTCAAAATTTAAATATTGATAGTTAATTACAATTTCATATATAAAGATACAATTCTCTTTCGTTTTGCTATAATATATCTTTCCGTTAATGTAGATGAATTTATTACTTAACAGATGATTATTAATGATTTAATAACTGTTTCTACAAATGTTCTTAGCTACACAAATAAATATCCCTCTTATAAGGGATCATGTGCAATTTTGTCTCTATTCTTAAGAGTTATGCAAATAAATCTTCGAAAATTTCTCTTTCTAGACAACATTCAACTCAAAGTATGTTTGCTCGTGTATTGCTCAACCTTATAGACAAACTATTAGAATGTGATTTAACATTCGTAATAACTTGTAAAATTTCATATTGTGATTTAATATTTCTCATAAGATTTTTAATTGACTCAACAAAAAAAAAGTTAAATTGGTTATAAATTGCAACAAAAAAAGGATTATGTACTAAATAACAATTATGAAACTCTCTATAAAATTGTACGCTTTGTTCTTTAAATGAGTTATTCTTTAACATTTTTCCCGTTACATGATCTAATCTTTAATTTTTGTCCTTGAACAATCGAACTTATGACAATAGAGCATACGTTCTATAGAAATCGAAGTCATGCAATAATAAAATATGTGGACTATTATGATACGAAAATGTAAATTTATATATATTGATATATATAAAAAATTGATTATGAATGATATTAATTAAAGACCATCACAAAATAGGCCAAAATGTGCAAATGACCCGAAAAAATCACTTTCAAAAAGAAGAGTAGGGGTATGGAGTCGAAAAGCCCATTCATAGAAAAGATGTCCAAAAGCCCACACGAAGTTGCTGTAACGTAGCAAAGTAAAGCGAGTGAACAAGTGGCTCTGTAATTTTCGCCCACGATATTGCAACGAGTGGCGCTCGCGAGACCTTTTATTAATTTATTTAATTAATTTTTCTTCAGATATTAGGTGAAAAGAAAAGGAGAGAACGGATAGTAATATATAAATATCAACGCTGTACGAAAGAGATTTTTTCCCTTCCGAAGTTGTGGTGGTTAACAGAATCACATTTTTTACTCAATCGGAAAGTAGGAGCGAAAAACGAGATAACGAAGCAATAACAGCCGGAATCCGCCATGAGAACTCTTCAAGCTTCCACCTCCTACAGCGTTGGCTTTGGAATTTCATCTTTTGCTACTCGTCCTAAGCCTTCTACTCATCGCTGCCTCACCGTAGCCAAAAGTACTCATTTTTCAACTTCCTACAGTTTATAGTTTCTTCTGATTTCCTCTCGGTTGCCATATTTTTGGAAATAAAATGCTTTGATTTATTGCTAGTGAGTAACAACTAGCTAGTGTTTGCAACTGTGAATTCTGTTTTTGTATTTGTTTGCGTATTCAATGTTATTTCGATTTCAGTGTTTTCTCTTTTCGATTTTGAGTTATTAGTTTGCGTATGGCGTTAAGATCTTGAAATTCGATCCATGGAGACTAATTGGATGTTAATAACGTTTTGAGCTTTAATTTCTTCACATTTTAGTCTTGAGTTTAGAGTGTATATACTGCTGTTATAGATCTTGAAGGCTGATTTTGTTTACCAGGGATAAGCACCTAAAGATTTACTTGTGATTTCTTCCGAGAAATGATAATACGTATTTATTCAGCTAGATCAAAATATAATTGGGAAGATCAAATAAACGATTTCAGTAGAAGTTGATCTATTGATTTTACTGAAATGGCTAATTTCATGGGCGTGTTGTTTGCATATGTAGTGGAGCCATCAGAGAAATCTGTTGAAATCATGAGGAAATTCTCGGAGCAGTATGCTCGCAGGTCAGAAACATATTTCTGCATGGACAAAGGTGTTACTTCTGTGGTCATCAAGGTACTTTCTTTTCCCTTTCTCTTTTTAATGATCATTCGATTGCTTGCAGCTTATAGTAACCTCTATTGTGCATTTACTATACTCACTTGTATGTTTATGTCTTTAGTATGTGTTTCAGATCCTATTTTCCATTTAATCTCTAGGCTTGGCACTTAATTATTCTTTTCTATTTTACTTACTGAGATTATGTCTTAGGGATTGAATTTGGGACTGAGGCCTTTCGTCTCCATGAAAGCTGTCTTCGATAGCTTCTTAATATTGTTTTGTATTGCCACTATAATTTTGTGACTGCTGCATTAGCAACTAAACAGAGTGGGTTAATGTCAAACTCACTATTTCAGCTCGTGGTTTTCTGTGTTAGCTGGTAAGTAAGTTACTGTAAAAGTAATAACTTTCATGTTGAAAATTTACCATTTCTCACAGATATTTATGCTGTTAAATTGACCAAAAGTCATCAGTAAGCACAGTGCAGTCAGAGTACGACAACTTATACAATATTCTGAACGTTAGAATACTCCCTCCTAGGCTATAAAGTGAGAATTTATAGTATCTGCTTGGAAACTGTATTGTCGTTTTACTAACTCCAAGGTAATGACATTCTGTATACATGCAGTTTAGGACAAGCTGCAAGTGTGTGATATCATTTCAGTTCCAAAAAGTTGCTTCTATAGATGATTGATTATTGTTGAATAGTGTTTTGTTGCTCAGAAGTGCTACTTTGGTCTTATTATCTTATCAAAAAAAGTGACACCTTCTTTTTTAAAGCTTGAATAACCAATCACTTTTTCCCAGGTATCCTTCAGTTTATATTCTAGGTTGAGGTGTGTTTTTGTGTATCTTCTAGAAACATATTTCTGTGTAAGTTCGTGAACGTATAAATTTAAAATTGTGGAGCTGTGGAAATTCTTGAACTGAGGGGATATCAAAGACTTATAATGAGAGATAAGAGAGAACAATAGCACAAAGCTTGTTATATAATAAAGGAGAGGTGTAAGAGGGACTTTTAACACAAAGAAGGGAATAAAAATTGAGAAACTTTTAATAACGTGAGTAAAGGATTTACCATCTCATAAACCAGATAGAAGAATAGATTTTATCATCTCATAAACAAGATAGAAGAATAGATTTTATCATCTCATAAACAAGATAGAAGAATTGATTTATCTTCTTTGTGAAGAGGCACTAAAAAGTTGTAATGTGATAGCAAACCATGGAAAAGCTTTTGTATTGAAAGAGAGCTATGAACACTAGAAGCATCAATACAATGGGGGCACACGCATAAGGAAAAGTCTTTTGATAATGTGGAAGGTGCTCTTCTAGACTGTGTTAGGTAGTTGAGGATCCCCTTGGTGTTCTTGGTTGTGTTGAGTTACATCCCTCATTTACTTATTGATATAATAGCTACCCACCAAGAAATAACTACAATGATAACGTTATGATACCAAAAACATTAGCAATAACAACCGAGGTGAATGGGAAGTTGATGCCAAAATTAAAGCCTCATCCACATCAATAGTAACCTATGGAAAGAAGTGAATCTTATATGCAACTATGATAAGTATCCTATTGGGTTTTGATAGAGCATCAAACATAAGGATGTATCCAAGGGTGTGACAGAACTTGGCTTATTAGTATCTTTTATTAGTTTGATTTCTAGTGATTGTAAGATCAGTTTTATTTGATAGTCACTATGACTTTTCCCTTTTGGTGTTGGATGCTTTGTGTCTTATGAGGTTCTCCAAATTATGTTGCTGTACAAAGAATAGAGCTATCACATTTTAGAAATTTGAATCGAGAAGATACTTATGAAGTTTGTGAGCTGGACATGAATGAATATATGTTATACAAAGACTCTTTATCAACAACAACAACATACCCAGTGTAATCCCGCAAGTGAAGTCAGGGGAGGGTAGTGTGTACGCAAACCTTACAAAGCATTCTTAAAAGAAAATGAACAATAGCTACAACAAAATAATAGTACAGTCAAAGTCAAAGTACAAGTAATAACAGATAGTAGTATAGAACAAGAAACTGCAAGTCAAATGCATGCAAAGTACCAAAAGTATCCTTGTAAATGAGTGATGGTTAGAGTTACCACATATCTTTTCCTTTTAAATTAATGGTGGCGAGGGTTCCAACATGTCATATCATAGAGTAATAGTTTCTAAAAAGAGAAAGGTGTCATTCTTTTTGGACAAATTAAAAAGGAAAGTGTGTTACATAATATGGGACAGAGGTAAATATAGTTTCAGTACAACCTATGTACTATTTTAGTCAAATATACACAAATGTTTCCTTCTCAAAATAAAAATATGGGACGGAGGGATTAGTCAAGTATAGGACCTAAGTCTAAGTCTAGATTCAGAGAATACTCTATGACTAATTGGAATATCCTTATCCTTTCAAGCAGTTTTGCTACAGCGACCCGTTCAATTTTATGGGTAACTGTTTTTTTAAGTTAGGGAACTGTTTACTTTCACAACTTATTAAGATGTTTTACTAGAAATCCATATAAGAAGCATATCACGTTTGACTGATTTATGTGCATAAGAAAGACATTCATTTTGGTGGAGCATAGTTGATTTATAGTTTTGTACTGCTCTTGTTATGATGTCCCCTACTCATAGTGGTTTCTATATTCCTTATTATTGAAACATCTATTCCTACATCGAGGGTGGAATTTAATTAATGTATTCATTGACCCATGCTTAGGGTTTGGCAGAGCACAAGGATACATTGGGCGCTCCACTCTGCCCCTGCCGGTAAATATTTGTTCCCAACACATATGTTTTGATGGTTTTCATGCTTTGCTACTTCCCAGTTACCACAGTACCTTTGTAATTTCATCATTACCATGAACTGTACCATATTGTTGTCATTTTAATTTTCAGGCATTATGATGACAAAGCTGCAGAAGCGCAGCAGGGCTTCTGGAATTGTCCATGTGTACCAATGAGAGAGAGGTAAGTTGTTTTTGCTTGTGTTCATAGAATTGGTTGTATTTTGGTCATGTCATGGTTTTTTTTTTGTTTGCTGAGAGTGAAAACAGCATCAGAAATAGGGGATCCAATAAATCGAAATCAATATACATTCTCTGTATTCTGTAATGACATTTTTCCTCCTTTCTGCCAGAGATACTTCCTTTTGGGTTTGCCTCTAACTTTTTGGTTAGATAAGGCTTCATTAAGTGTTTTACTTTGAGCTTTCAGGCCTTGAATATCTGAATAATAAATTTTTGGAATGCATGTGAGACGGTGGTCAGCAACTACAGTTATGGGTGCATGAATTTAAAGATAACTTGTCAGTTGCCCTTGTATCCTTTGGTTGTTCAACATGCTAAGAGCTTAATTGTACAGAAGGGTTTGATATATTGTGGTTTCTGTTTAAATCTGCAAAGAAAATCTTGTCTGCTTGACAAGTAAAGGAAACCTTGATCGGAGAAGCCATTTAATGTTTCTAGCTCAATTACGTGTGCCATCATGTATATCTGGTCATCACCATTTTAGTCTCCATTCTCTGAATCCAAGTAATCATGGATAGTAGTATTTTATCATCTATAAAATCTCCAACATAAGCCTCCGTGTTAATCAGTTTACTTCTGAATCTTTATTATCTTTCTTATCTTGCATTACAGGAAGGAGTGTCACTGCATGCTTTTTCTGACCCCTGATAATGATTTTGCTGGAGAAGAACAGGTAAACTAAATGCAAATATGCGAAGCTTGATTTATAGTTACCTTCTTAGATTTGAGTATTTGGTCTATAGCCCTTTTCCTCTTTTGGCTATCTGACTCCCTAAGTGTATGTTAAAAAACAAAGGATTACTATTATGTGCTGTCAGTGCCTCATGTGTGCCTCAGTGCCTAGTGTGTGTTTTGCACTTATATCTGCTACTAAGGCCAGTCTTCTTCCTTTTATTTCACAGACAATTACTATGGAGGAGATTAAGGAAACAACAGCCAACATGTGATGCTCGGACATCTTATACATGCTATGATTATTACGTTTTTGTTGTACATGTATATTTGAGTTGTAGATGAAGAGCAACAATCAAAGTTCTGATGTGACATGTTGCTGAAACCCCATCCATTACATTGTTGTGATTCTGATCTCGTCAAATGAGCTTGGGTGGGTGAATACCAGAGTGCAATTATGCTAACTGTTGTGTGATGCATCTAGATTGTATGAGTCAGTAATAGGGGATTTTGGGTAGCTTCAGCTAATGCAAATCCTGATTTTGTATAAAACGGGAATCAATTTCCAATAGCTGCTTTGTGAAGTTCAATCCCAGGCGCCTGACGTGTTAATAATGAAATGGAGACATCTCACCTTCGCAATGTAAGCCGTTTTATATGTAACAGCGTCTGTCAATGTGTCATTGGCTCTTATATGCGCTGACACATTGGCGCTAACATGGGATACAATTTTACCGGTTTGCACTCGGCAAATGTATCCCAAATGCGAGGCTAGGGAGTAGGGAGAGAAGTTTTGTGTAATTCATTTTTAAGTTTCTTTGATTTTCTGATGGGATAAAAGAGACCATTTATTAGGTAAAAAGTTGACACCAAGTAAGAGGGAAAATAAGGTACAATCATGATAAAATTTAGGATCCATTTAAAAGGAAAAATCGGGATCAACGAAATGAGCTTCACAAAATGGAAACTTTTCTTGTACATTCACTTGAGAGAATGAGAGTGATGAAAGTTGTTTCATCTAGTCAAGATACTTCCGGAGTACTGTCACCCTGAGGATCAAATATTTGTAGTTGAAAGTTAAAAATACTTTTCACAGTTGTAAATATGACTTTTTCATTTTGTTGAGGTTTGGAAATACTATCATTTATAAGGAAGTTAGAGAGAAGTAGAGATCGTCTTGAAGTAACAATTTATAGCAAACATTAAGGACTAATATTTGGAAGAAAAAAAAAACTTGAGCCAATTCCACGAGCTATGCTTGTCTGTATTAACGAGAGTTTGATATTGATCCTTACCTTATGAATTAATCATCAAAGAAGCTACAAAAGAGGAGTACTATGCTTGTCTGTATTAATGAGGGTTTGACATTGACCCCTACCTTATGAATTACTAACTTTCAAAAAAATTACAAAAGAAAGAGAGCCCGTGATCAAAAATAAATCTTAAAAGGCCAATATAGTCATAAGGGACCATCTGGATTATGTCTATCTGAAATTATACCCAAAATCTAACTGCTTATGGATCAAAATGGAGTAAAGAACATAGAGCTAAGTGGGAGTAGGAGTTGAAATTGTAAATACTAGCACAATATTGCCAAGTATGACTGTTAAGAGAAAATGCTTAAAGTAGTCCCTTTATTTTTGGGCTGAGATTTAAAAGGAAAAATAACCTAAATACACATCTTATTTTACCATAATCTCTAAAATTTCCTACCATTTAAAAAAAATTAAAAATCCCTTCTCGAATAAATCACACTCCTCTTGTTAATACATCTCAGATACATCACTCCCCTTTCTGATACATCGCTTGCCTATGTATCGGGATGTCTGCTGATGTATCCGGAGGTCCTATTTCCTCTCTGATACATCCCTCCCCTCGCAGATACATCCCTCACCTATGTATCCGGATGTCCAATGATGTATTCGGAAATCCAGTGATGTATCAGAAATTCTAGTAATGTAACCAAAATCCATAAATTTTAAGAAATTTTTATAATTGAAAAAGAGTAGGAAAATAATGTAGTTAGCTCTTAACACTATGAGATTTAGGTAAATTCCTAAAAACATCCTTGTTCTTCATAGAGTATTAATAATCTCTCATGTTTGCAATATTGATGCATTTTTTGTCCTCTTCCAAACTTTGCCTTTTTTAATTATTGGTTTTGTCAACAATTTAGTGTAAGAAATTTTCAATCATCGTCCTTTTTATTTAGTAAAATCAGTAACTCATATGAAAAAAATGTGAGAAGAAGAATGTTTCTTATTTTGTTCAATTCAAGCATCGTTGCAGCTAAATGAAGAACCCACATCTGTCTTTTCGACTATTTCTTGCACTTCCTAGATATTATATTGTTGCTCGAAAAGTAATAACATGAATCTCGTACAAGTATGATAAATAGTTGAGTTCCAAAGTTCATAGATAATTAATAAAAAAATTAAAAGTGTTGTAGCACAAGAAGGTCGAGCCAAACACTTTAGATTGGAGCAAAAACGCACACATAAAAATTAGGTATATTGAACAAACTTGTAGTAGTTTCTATGTTTTATCAATTTCATTGTTGATATTGGTGCCTGTTCGATCACATTTATCTTATTTGAACGAATAAAGAATACTCTTCTTTGTATGCATGTTTGAATCTAATCTGATTAAGAATTTATTTAGTAGAAATCACATATAAGGGGAGAAAGAACAAACAAACGTAAAATAAAGGACTATTAGTGCTGAAAGTGAAAAAAAATATGGATGTCTATGAATCTAAACAAAAAAGATAAGTTTTCTCTCGGCGCAAGTGAAGAATACGGATGACGTGTCATGGACTAGTAGACAAAATAAATGGGGAAAAAGAGGAAGGACAATTCTTATAGCGACCTTGCTAAGTCTGGACTCTGGAGTCTAGACATATGGAGTAAAACCAGGTAGGTATCTCATTCTCTTTCACCTCCGATTCTAGGGTTCCTTCGTTTTTATTGACTATCGATTGTTTCACTGTAATCCTTTCAGATTTAGCTGTGCATAAGTTTGGACCATCTCAAATGGCAAGGCCTCAGGTCACCATCACTTTGGGCCGCTCTGGTCAAGTGAGCTTTCTCTGCTGTTTTGTATCTCTCTTAATGGATTTCAGTTTCGCTTTTCTTTTACATTCCGTGAATCTGTTTAGGAGGTTACTTACTTTGTAGCTTTTGAAGGTTCAATTTTCCTAAATTCCATATTTTTTGGGATTGTTAAACTTGTAGAAGGTGGTTAAGCGATCATCAGCTTCTCAGGGTAATGGTTTCAGTCAACAGTCATCGTCAAGAGGCAAAAGGTCATTAGGAGAGACCTATAGGACTGACTCTGAGGATCCTACGAAATCCCTTCGTAAACGGTAAAATCTTTTGTTTGTTGTTCTGGTAGAGCTAATGTAGGCTGTATCTAATTTATTGTTTTCAGAATAATGGAAGGGATAGATAAAACTATCAATGTTAGAGTGGTAGTTGTGATTTTATTTGATAGTGGAAGTTTTGCTTTTGTTTTTGCAAGTGTGCGAGGGGATAAAGATGCAGGAGGTTCCAGATATGGCAGACAGAATGGTATTATCTGAAATATTTGTCATTTACATGTTTTATTTTTTGGATGATTCCACTTTCCTGTGTCGTTCTTTGGTCTAGCATATTACCTCATGTTTGGTACTGTTACTGTAATGTAAAGGTGCACGCATTGGGAAATATGACCTCCGACTGAAACTTACGCACAGAAGAAGGCAAAGGGAAATTCTTCTGCAGATTGAAGAAAGAAAAAGGGAGCAGCATAAGAGGATGACAAGAAGTGTTCAATCTCACAGGAGGCTTGTCACCAGCAGCCAACCGTCGTCAGGAGCTAGTGAATTGCTTCAGATAGAGGCAATTAGATCCTCCTATACATCACAAACTGCTGGTGGTGTTAGACCAAGATCCCCTTATAGACTTCCAAACGATTCTAAAGAACTCTCTTCTTCAAGGAATATCACTGCAGCTCAGCATGTACCATCAGTAAGGCCAGCTGAAGCTTCAAGAATGGTTCATATGGCAGGAAATGACCTCATCGACTCTTCTCAGCTAAAAGTCCTTACCCCTGTGACCATGAGGTCAGCACTGGCTGCCAGGAATCCATTGACAAGTCTTCCCTCTGCAAATGGAAGCATGCTACAAAGCCCGTATCCTGTACGAACCTACTGATTATTTATCTTACTGATTTTCTATCTTGAATCATTGTTGGTAGAATGCTAGTCTTATCTTGAACTGGATTACTGAGGTAGTAATTTTAAGTGACATTCAAGATCATGAGCTCAGCTGTAACCTCTTTAGTTGTCCTTCTGGGGAACAACACAGACAAGTTACATAAATTAGTAGATCAGTTTTTACTTGAGATAGTTTTTCTGGCTCTAATCCACCCTGACATGCTTCCTGCTATTTTTTGTCGAGCCAAATTGTTGCCTATATTTTCTCTGTATGCTGGAATTTAGCACTGCTTATATTTAAAATAATGGATTGCTGATGGAAGTTAAATTACTATGGCATTGTTTGACCATGTTCAAGAATGCCTTGGTTGCTAATGCTTTTTGGAAATTTCTTTTGTCTGTGTTGTTTTACTATTATCTGTGTGATTTTCCAACAATTTTTCTATTTCTCCTTCCTGCAACATAGCATTCTTTGCATTCCTTTTCCTGGTATTGAAATTTCAGTGAGTTATATTGAAAACTTCTTAGTTTATACATATGTCAATATTTCTGCATTGCTTGTCAACAAAGTCCAAATTAGTTGTTAGTTCTCACAATTAATGTCTTTCTCATAACACCATCTTTTCTTAGCTACTGTGGATTTTTGTCTCATTTCCCTTTATGGCTGGTATGAAAAGAAATATTTGTAAATGGACAGAATTTATATGAATATCTTAAACATTGTTCTATCTGGTGTTGTACAGGATCAACCTCCTGTGACCGTAGCCAGTCTATTAAATTCACTCGGTTTGGGGAAGTACGCTATCCACTTTCAAGCCGAGGAGGTGAATAGTACTATTGTTAATTGATGAATCACGTGTTTTAGTTTTTTTTATCATTTCTTTGTTATTACATTATCTCAGCATTATGAACATTCTAAATATCAATACTGGTACTGTGGCTGAAAAAGTTTCAAGGCTGAACTAGATTTCACTGCAAAGAGTAACAAGGTCATGGCATTACGTTGTTTCATGTTGGATAGACAACCTTCTCGTCTTCATAATAAAAGGATTATTTTTTTATGAGGAGCAAGTTAAAATGGTACTTAATATTCTGCATTAAATCTTTTCTCCTGGTGTACTTGATTCCTATTGCACACATATATACAGTTAGCAGGCTGCTCATTATTTAGAGAAGTATCTTCTGTTATGTGATGCGGTGACGGAGCCAGGAATTCAAAAGAAAGTTCTTTTGCCAAAGAGATTCAACAACGAAAATATATACAAAAAAATAAATTTTTCCTATCTACGTAGTGTAGTTTTTCAACGAAGGGGGTTCAATTGATTCCCCTCGCACCCCTTTGGCTCTGCCCTGATGTGATGAATATGTTACGTGACAAATTTTCTAATAGTTGGTTAGATTTATGTATTCGAACCCAAATCAATCTTTAAAGTTTCT